AGCACAGAGCATCCCACAGAGCACTGCATTCCTATAGAGGACACAACACTGCTCTGGGGCAGCCCTGACTGCACGCATGAAGCAGCTCTGCATTTCACCTCCCAGCACCAAGGGCTTTCTGGTAGGTGAAACTCCACAATGGCTGTGATTAAGAATCATCTTTTAAAGGCTTTACAAATTAGCTGCAGCTTTAAATATTAGCAATTGGCAACCGTGCTCAGAAGGCAGTGCAGCCCTGGCTGAAGTTTTTTTGAGCTTGCAAAGACCTGGGGTTGTTTGGTTGTTGGTTTTTAACAGTTCCCATCAGATAGCAGGACACTGGGACCGAACTGGCTGTAAGCAGAGGGTCAAATAGCAATTTCCTCCCTCTGTTATCAGGCTTTGGGCTCTCCTTTTTTGCAGAATTCGTGGGTCAGTTCAGTAAAACACAGCTCTGAGCCAAAGAAAGGAACTCTGATTCTCTTGGGAGTTCTTTTTGTTTGGGTTGTTTCAAATCCAGCAGCTGAAAGTTGCATACATGAGAGCTGCAGGGTTTAAAAGGAAGACTACAAATCCACTGTCATTTGAAGTTAACCATGAAGACAGCAAATGCTTTCACTTCTCATGGGAACAGAGGGGCTTTGGAGAGTTGATTCTCTTTTTTTTCCTTTGTAATTTGTTTTGCATGATTCAATCAATCCAAACTGCCTTTGCTGGACAGAAGTGCAAAGAATCTCTTCTCCCTTCTCATTATAGGGCATTTACCTCTGTAGTAACACAAGGACCGAGGTTAGGAGAGATTACATTGCACCCAACAAACTTCTGGTGGTGATTCCAGAGTGAAAGGAAGAGGTCGCGATCCGCAGACCAAACCAGAACAAAAAACCCTGTGATTAAATGTCAAACTGCACAGTGAGAGCAACACATGTATTCACACAAACGTGCATAGAAGCTCCCTGCTTTCAGAAGTTCTCTGGCTACAGGAACATTCAGGCAAATCAGCACTCAGAGCAAATTGTTCAAAAAGCACCTATATGTTCAGTAGCATGGCAGCATATCATAGGATTAGATGCAACTTGGCCTCACCTATAATGATCTCACGAATAAAGACAATCATGATGGACTAGTTAATTACAGCTTTCCTATTCAACAAGAATGATACTACTCTGCTTTAATTTTAACAGCAGAAAGAGGTGGTAGAGAATAAAAGGAAAACCAGGTAAGAAATGTATGATTTTGTTAAATTAATCAGTGGTTTTGCCAACCCCCAGCTGACATTCGTAGAAAGGAGGACATTTCATGCAAATGATCCCAGCAATTACTGCCTTTCAGCAGTCAGCACCCAGTTTGTTCCACAGGGCCATTACCTGTCTTTCTATGTGCTGTGGAGCGAGTGTTGTGGTTCCATCTCCTACACACAGCCAAGTGATTGCTGTCCCCAGTCTGCACCCTTCAGCAGTGATTTGCTCTGATCTGTGCAAGGGCACTCTGTGTATCTGCTGCTACACCACTAAACGAGCAGAAATTGGGCAGACATGGGAGATAAAGATATTGCCCTAATGAATTACGTTTCTGTTTATCCATTACAGAGGAATCTGAATTGAATGCTCATTTCCTCCTCCCCCAAACACCAGCTTGTGTGTGCTGTTACCTATGAGAGCAGCAGAGCAGTGAGATGCCTGAACCCACAGCACTGGGGAGCACAGCTCAGCTCCTTTCTGCCTCCATCTCTCCTTGCTTTAACTTTCCACCAAGCCAACTCAGCACAGCATTCACCTGTGCCCACGCTGTGGCTGTCAGTGCAATTCAGGGTACTGTTATCTTGGGATATAGGAGCTGCTGCCCTCAACACTTGGAAAAATCACCTTAGCATTTCATGCCATCGTTTTGTTTGCCTTTGCTCCACGTGGCTTCCATCCTTTGGGCTTTTTTCACCCCCCCAGTGAGCTGAAAGCAGAAGGGAACAGCACTGAATTTCATATTTTGTTACATCAGAAGCACGATGCAGCTCTGCATCAAGCAAGAGGATGACCTTGTCACAGCCAACCCCAGATGGGCACAGCCCTAGCACTGCTGCAGTCCCTGATACATGAGGTGACCTCAGCAGCACTTGCATCCTGGCACCCACACCTTTATTTGCTTTCACAGTGGATTGCAGGGGCTCTGAGAATTCAAAAGCATTTGGTTGTGGTATGAGGAGTTCTGCCCTCACTAGAGGGATGCTCATTTTGGGTGCAAGCCTCACTTTCTTTTGAGCCATTCTGGACAGCTTTTCAGCCTTTCCTCCTACTCTCAAAAAGAAAAGCATCTCACTTTCTTTGTTGCAGCATGGGACAAAAATGGCTTTGGAGAATCTGACTGTGCCCACCAAATAAAGCCCCACCACCTGCCAGCCCCTGCCATCCCAGCACGGAGTCTGTCACACTGCTCTGCTCCCACTTCCCCATGTCACAGGGAGACAGATGGTGCAGAGGAATTTTTAACCAGCTCCTGGGCAGGCTCTCTCAAGGAGGGAGACATGCAATGATAGAGGAGCAGACTGACAGAAAGGCATCACAAAGCAAGATTTTGATAAATTTTTGCAGAATACCCAGCAACCTTTAATACCAAGGAACTGATGAGCAGATTGGCAGGGGATGCATAGAGCAAACGCTTTGCTCCATGCGCCATCCATGTAACAGTAATTTTGAACAATTGCAAAGCTGTCCACCGTCCTGTTTAAAACTTCAGCTATTTTCCCCATGAATCACAAGGTGACAAACTTGCCTACCAGCTCAGGACAGTGATCCAGCAGCGGGCTGAGCCCTGCACAAAGCCCCACTGCCTTATAAAAGCTCTCTGAACTCTCATGTCCACTAGTGGATCATAATGCAGGACTGGGATTTTTGTGCTGTCTGCCATGAATTTGACTTATTTCCTTTAGAAATGCTACAGCTGTGAATCCAAGAAACATTAGCCTGTGTTTAGAGGGGAGAAGAAGTGAAATAACTGAATGGATGTCTCTGTCATGCCCAGAGCTCTCAGTGTGGGAAGCACCTACAGAGGCTGCAACCTAGAGCCAGAGAAAACGTCCTCTATATTAGTCAGCTTCTTACCATTGAAGCATTTAACATGTGATATATATTACACACATAGCAAAGCATGTCCTGATTGATCACCATCACACAGGACAGGGAGTTAACAAATGATGAATTCCCAATCTGCAAACCCAGGCAGTTCCCAGAAGCAGTAGAAAAAGAAAAGATGACTCAGACAGGTGGTTTGATAGATCACCATCCAGATGGAACTGAAAGCACTCCATGGCTTTGGGGATGAAGATGCACGGACTTAACCATACCAAATATTAAGTTATCCATAGCCATTACAAGACTTATAGTAACTGGGGATCCCTACTGAAACCATAACAAAGAAGCATCTAGCTGCAAAGCACACAAAGCAAGACCCCTCAGAAGATGAGCAGAGGAAACCTGCAGTGTTCTACTGCACCATGAGTAGGGACACTCACTGCCAACACCTCCCCAGCTCCAGTGAAGGAGCTGGACTCATTTCTCCCAGTTGAGTCCATCTTTCTCTTGAAAATGCATGAAGAGCCTTCCTGACAAATCATCTTCTTCCCCATAAAATTGCTTAATCAAGATTTCCCCATGCAGCTGGCTTATTTGCATCCTCCCTATTGCATTAATATATGCAAACGGATGGCGCTGCTGATGCAAGCAAAGGAATAAAAGGTCACTGAAGCAAGTTTAATTAAAAAGAAAGCCTGAACTTGAGCAAGAGTTAGCTAAACGGAGACATATTGATTAGCAGAACTAGTTTTAATTATTACAAGACAACCACAAGTTTACTTTGATATTGAACAGAGACAGTCCTTCAGATCACACTATCTCATCTCTCTGACATTTCCAACCACTTGGGAGATCAGTTAAGCTAAAAACACCAGATAAATAGCTGTGAGCAAGCAGAGGTCTGCAGCCTGACACAGGCAGAGCCCCTTCTGTGCTGAGAGATCAAAGCAGATGCTGCTATACAGCATCTTTCTGTGGGCCAGCAAGGCCACAGCCATCTGTGTAACACCATACAGGCACCTCAAAGAAGTAGACAATCTGGGCAGGAAAATCTAATCTATATTTTTTTCTTTGAACCTTAGTATCCATAGGACAAACCGAGGGATAGATAGTCAGCTGTCCCATCCTTGCACAGAGTGAAGGGCAGTGGGACACCTCTGGGATGGTGACCTATCCAAGAGCAGGCTGCTTCTCCCATCACCTGCACAGCACATCCCTGAGACCCAGCAAACATTTTAGGGTGATGTTTTTAAATACACCTTTCCCCAGGGTAAAGAGTCACATCCACCAAAGCTCACATTTTCTCTGTTTAACCCTCTTCTTCCTCAAAGTACCCTTTTTTTTTTTTTTCTGTAGCAAATGAAAGAGATTGACTGCATGTTAGCTCCATCACACGTGTGACATGACAGGGAAGCAGTTGCTAAGCGACTACCTTGGGGGTGAGGGACACTTCATAGAAATGTTTGCAGTCATCCATGAAGATGCACACACTGAGGTCTGATTCTGATGCAATAGAGGCAAAGAAATGAGCCCAACCTCTGCACTGTAGGTGAGGTTTAATCGAAAAGAAACTGCTCCCAGTGACTCGTTTCAATATCCTGAACAATCTGATAATCAATGAGACAGAGAAGAAACACAGAGCACCTGGAAAACAGGTGAGACTTCTTATTATACCCAACTCCTGGGTAAGAGCAAAAAATGAGGGCAAAATGCCTGAGCAAAATGGGGAGATACCATCAGATGTGAAAAGCTAATTGAAATTATCCCAGTATAAGTACAATAATTAAGCTGACACTTAATTCTGATAGCAGCTAATTCTCCTCTGAAGGAACCTGCCCTGCAGCACCAGCCAGGCAGCATGCCTGCCACCCAGCCCTCACCACCCAGCATCTGCACTATTATGAGAACAGACACTGCTGTTCTGAAAGAGGCACCAAGCCTCTGTTTTTCACTTACCTTTATATCCTCCAGTTCCCTCCTACTCGCCTCAGCTCCTGCCCAGCAGCATCAAGCATCCTTTCTCTCTATGCCTCGCACTCACTTTTATTGGGTCCTTCCAGCTCTTCCCTGAGTCCATTGGCTACAGCTTGTATTTTCCAGCTGATCTTTCTGAGCCGGAGGGCCAAACCCAGCTGGAGCTCATCTCCACGAGCCCTGTGCCCTGCGGTCAGCTTTGACCACGGCCCCTGGAAGTGCCTGAAGTCAATCACCCGCAGGCTGCAGTGATTAGCAGAGATTGCACTTAGATCAGCAGCAGCCTTGTGGAGCTCAGGAGCTTTGATTTTGCTCGACAGGAGAAAGAGATGTGAAAAATATTCCAGGCATAATCTCAGCCAGTCAGGTACATTTTAAAGAGATAAAAAGAGCGAAGATTTTTTTGTTGTGAGTGGAAGTGATTTACTTATTTTTCACAGGACTGAATGAAGCACCCAGGGATGAAGTAAACGGTGTGCTGAAGGCACCTGACCTAACATTCACAGCAGGAATAGGAAGAAATTCAGCTGGTGCTTTGAGCTGGTGCAGAGGACAGGGGGAAGCTCCACCCAATTGAGGAGCTTTTGCAATGAGAACTCACAATTTAAAGGTTACTGCCACAGAGAGGAGAGGCTGGGTCTCCAGAATCATAACAGCTGAAAAGATCTCTAAGGTCCCCAAGTCCAACCCCAACCCACCATGCCCATAGCCACGTCCCTTAGTGCCACAACCCTATGGATCTGGATCTGTGCTGGTGCCTCACCTCTTTCAGAGTAGAATATGTTCCTAATATCCAACCCATTCGATTACATCTCTAAGCAACAGCTAACAAAACGCTTTCCAGATTATGGGTGAAAGCAGAGATGAGGTGAGGGTACACGTGGTGCCCACAGCACAGGTTGGGGGAGCTGCTCTGGGTGTGATGGTGGACAAGAAGTCACAGTCTCCCCACGGTGCCCTATCATTCACCAGGCAGCTCCTGTGAGACTTCCTGAACACTGCTGCACGCTTTTCAAGTTGCAGTCATTAAAATGCAGGCTGAGTCCCTGCTGGCTTCCCTTGGCTAAGTCAAGAGAGCTAAAATCCACTCGTAAGTACTCTTAAAGTTCAGTCGCTGCTGTTTGTACAGAGCTGTGCCGCAGAGCCAAGAACAAAGCATCTCAGTGTCAAGAAATCAAGGAGCCTGTCCAAAATCTCCCACGGTGGCAATCAGCTTAATCTCTATCTGAAAAGTGTATAAAAATGTGAACAGGGTTGTTTTGTTATTTTTTTTTTTTTTTTCCAGCCTTTCAAATCAACACATTTAAAAATAATACGTACGGCTTTTTTTCTTTCTTGCGTGTGACTTCAGCTCTTTGAGTTATCTCCATAACTACGGGCAGAGCTGAGCTGTCTGCAGGATGAGCTTCCCCACATGCAGCACCTAGATTGCCCTGTCCTGGGAAAAGCTGATGGTCTGTTTGCTAAAATGCAGCCAGTAAGGACATCCCAGTATAAAAATCTATGGTATGGGAACATTTCTATTACACACGGTTGTTGTCACAGAAAGATTTTCAGTCTTATTGTTGGATGGATGCAGCAGAACAGACAACTGCTAGAATTAACAGTACCCACATTCCTTGCTTCTGGACATTGGACTTTTTACAAATGGAAGGGCTTCCATTAAAAATCTGTGGTCACCTAAATTTTTCAGGTGTATTATTTCTGGATCCTGACTTGTTTGGGTTCTGGACTCCTTCCATCACACCATGCTCCATGTCAAACCCCTCTGAACAAGCGATGCTCCAAATGGCACAGCACCACGCAGGACATCTCTCTAATAGACTCTCCTGCCTTTTATCTTCTTTCACTTCAAAACACAAAACATTTCCAGGCACTCCAGAAAGCCAGCATGGACTCCACAGTGCCCCAAGATCAATCTGCAGTTTTAATGTACTTTTGTCAGAAGATATTAATGCAGCTAATGGCAACATAATGAGGCAAGGCTTAACCCAGCTGCATGACAACTGAAGGAGATGAATATTATTTCACTGGATTTAGTCCTTTTGTAGAGAAGTGACTTGTCTGTCTGGGTGCCAGACAATTTCCCCTGATGTGAAATCTACCCTTCAGCCAAAAAATAAGAGCTACATTTGACCTTAGGAGCTTAAGCCAACTTAATTTGCGCTGGTAATTTGTGGTTTTGAGGAAGTTACCATCTGGGACAACCATGAGAAACATCAGAAGATCCTGGGAAAAGGTAAAGCACATAAAAGCCATTCATTCACTCCTGGGAATGTGGTCTCAGGTGTTCAGATGAGCAGTGCTGGACAGAGGCAACATCCCTGCATCTCACCATTATTTTCAGGGTGGGATAAATCCTTCCCATCCAGTGCTTGTGCAGGGGTGCTCTACATCTCTTCACTTCCCCAGATTTTGCTTATTTATATGAGAATATTTGCTTATTTATATATCTCTTGATATACTATTCATATATTATTTATACGAATCTCTTGACTCATATAAATGAATTAGATGAATTGTAGAGATCAGTTGGCAATGTCACCAAGTCCAGCATGGCAAAGAGATCGGTGCAGTTCTGATAAAGCCTTTTGCTGCTACTGGGGAAGACAACCCTGCACAGCCCAGCTTGCTGGAGGCCCAGATAGGCAAATATGGGTCTACACATGCACTTCTGCTTCCTTTGGAAAGGCTCCTTAGTTTTTCCTGGCTTAATGCAATTCATGAGAACTGCAGGATTTCACAGCAACCCTTTCAAGCGCCTTCATGCTGAAGGCAGAAAAGTAAACACAAACAGTAAGAAAAAAATAAGATCCTGCCATGGCAAAGCTTGAGAACCCACCCCCCAAGGTGTCCACCCAACCATCCCCAGGAGCCACATGCGTTTCTGCTCTACCCATCACAGCCCCTCTGCAAATAGACCAGAGCTCAGCACTGCTTCCAGCCATACCCATCAGACAGATTTCAGTGGGGATCCATCCAACCATGAGAATGGCATTCATGAATAACCCATCAATTAGCCATCTGCTAAAAAAGCAGAGTCAATTAGACACTTCTTGGTCTCCCTGGGTCAGTGAAGCACTCCCGGGTGGATGGGAGCAGCCGTGAATGGTTCTTCCCATCTCCCATATTTGTGCCACTGGGACCAGGAGCCTCATACTAAAATAGCTTTCATTCTCATCTGTTTGCTCTTCATATTTTATTTCAGATCTGGGACTAATTTAGTTTAAGATGCGCAGTAAATGCATACTGTATGTTGATAAATTATTAGCCTTCTTACATAGCATGCCATTCAGTAAATCCACAGAGAGCTCCTTACCATTCCCTACTGTGAATCAAAGGACATTTGCTTAATAACTCCATATCCAGATGCGTTCAGTGAAGCACAGGGAAAGTGTCGTTGTTTACCAATCTGAGAGAATGTCCTAGATCCAAGAAGACATAAATCCTACCCAGACCAGCTGTCAGCTATGCGTGTGCCTCTCTTTGGAAAATCTAGTTTAATAAAAGCAGCACAAACGTCTCCCTACAAGCCTGAGCACAACACAAACAGAGGTGCTGGCTACCAAAACAACGGGCATATGGATTTTCTCCTATGAAAGACTAGCAATAAATTGACTGGGACACAAGCTCTCACCTGCATTAACTCTAGGTAAGTTCACCTTTCTAAGCTCATTCCTTGCAAAAGCTATGAACAGGCTAAAAATTCACCTCCAGTTTCTACTGACTTTTTTGTTTTACTTCTCAACATTCCTTTTGAAGCTGGCCTGGAATCCTGTGCTGCCCATTCTTAATTCCTTTTTTTCCTTCCTTATTAGGAACATATTCTACATTGATTTTTTCATATTTTAAGTGACAACAAAAAGCAAGAAGAAGTAATACGAAACTGGAAACACTTTACAGTTGGCAACAAAAAGATGCTTTGGCCAAGTCATAGAATCACAGAATGGTTTGGGTTGGAATGGACCTTCAGGATCATGTAGTTCCCATCCCTGCTATAGCAGGTACAGCTCCCTCTAGCCCAGGTTGCTCACAGCCCCATTCATCCAGCCTGGCCTTCATTGCTTCCAGGGAGGGGGCATCCACAGTCTCAATGGGCAACCTGCTCCAAGTGAAGAACATCTCTTTTAGCTTTGTCTTTTATGAACTGACGAGAGTCTGCTCTTTCTCATAACCTCAAAACTGAAATGCAGAATCTCAAAAGTGCAGCCTCTAAAATGGTTGGGTTATTAACTACTGTGCTAAGATTATTTGCTAAATTACAGCATGGAAGTATTCTCCAGCTTATTATTTCCAACAACAGGCATCTTTTATTAAGAAACTCAACTTGAATAATCAAGAACCACCCACTGTGAAATGAATGAAGTGTGTTCTCCAGAGAGCACAATGACTTTCTTTACCAGTGCTGCGCCTCAAAAGAATGGCAATACATCCCTGACTTGGCAAATGGGGCTTTGGAAAAGAAATGATGATTTTTTTTTATTATTATTTTTTTCCTCTTTCAGACAGATGAAATTGTTTGTTAAATTAAAGCAAAGTCTTAAGGAGTGAGAGGTTAATAAATAGTGAACAAACAGCAGACCTAATGGACCAGCACTAAAGGCAGAGTCCCTTCCTATCCATCAGCGCCTCATTCCAAAGAAACCCAGTGAGTAAAAGCAGTAAAAAGGTGGTCTTTCTTTTCAAACAACATTTAACTCTTAAAAAATGAAATATAGAAGTTAGTGAAAGGGTTTGCTGACACTATCTCTGTTCCACTATCATCACCTCTTCATAGAGAAGAATTCTGGGACTTGCCAGACAGCTGTGCAGGATGAACTGGTTGTTTTGTACCATAGGGTTGGCCAACTGAAGTGGTCTTGAGGTGAGCATGGCTGGGTGCAGCTAAACCTGCCTCCGTGCTTCCTTCCAGACCCGTAGAGACTTCTTCCCTAACTCAGTTAGCAAGAGAATCAACCTAGACCTCATGGCCAGGATGCCCTGTGCTGGGGGAAGCTCCTGTGCTCACCCCTAAGCAGGAGACTTC